TCCCTGTACTTACATTTGAACATACTCAGAGAGAAAAAAACAACCATACTTACTGACCTCACTTTAAATTCATGATCCCTGTCCTCAGTGAGTCTTTGTTACCCAGTAATCATACTAGTTTCCTGATCCATTCAGTGTCTCATACTCCTAGACAACTACTACTTGTTTATTGCTCCTTCTTCTCTTTCTATAAACTTCTAGCATCTTGCTCCCTAGTTCACTGAGAAAATTGAAGCAATAAGAGAACTTGTGCAGACTATATATCTATGTCTATGTACTTTACTCTCTCTTCTATGACAGACGAACTCACCTACTTTTATACTAGTATCTTCATCCTCATTGTTGTAGCAGTTCTCCCTCTTCTGTATTATTTTTCCTTTCTCTTTTAGATAATTCCCACTAGTATATAACATATTCTCCCATCTTTAAAAAAAAAATGTCTTGTCTCTGCTACCTTCTCCAGCCACTGCATTATTTCTTTCCCTCCCTTTATGGCAAAAATACTTTGAAAATGTCTCTATACAGTTTCTCAGATTTTTCTTCTCCCCTTCTGCCTTGAACACACTCCCATCAGGTTTTCAGCTGTATAGTTGTTGAGACAAAGGCTTTCTTTCATCAGTCCTTCTTTATTAAAGATTATCACTCTCTTCATGAAATATTTTCTTTACTTGACTTCTAGGATACCTTACTTGCCTGTTTTTCATCCTACTTTTGTAGTCAGCTTCATATCAGTTTCTTAATCTTTCCTACCTCCTCTTTGGTAAATCCTGTTGGGTATACAGAATCTGACCACTTATTACTCTCTGTACTGCCAATACATTGACATATGCCACTACCAGCTCTTGCCTTAAGTAGTTTTCAGACTGGTCTTCCTGCTTACACTGTCTTTTTCCTCTAGTCTTTTCTCAGTATAAAAGTCAGAGTGATGATATTGAAATATGCTGCATCTTACACTTTTCTATTCCAAACTCTTCAATGGCTTCCCTTCTCATTCAGAGTAAAGGCGAACTTCCTTGCAAATGATGCACAAGGTACCACATGATTTGACTCTCCTTCCCATACCCTACTACTATCTTACTTCGTCTTCTATTCCTTTTTCTTTTGCTCTATCCCCATTGGCCTCCTTGTTGTTCCTCAGATATACCAGGCGTGCTTCTACCTCGGAATCTTTGTACTTGCTGACCTTTCTACCTAGACTATTCTTCCATTTGATATTCCCATGGCTAGCTCCATCATTCTTTCAGTTCTTGACCCAGATGTCACCTTTTCAGTATGGTATTCTCTGCCCCTTCTCTTCGACGTGTTCTAATCCCTTTCCTGCTTTATTATTCTTTTCTTTAGTACCTATCACCATTTAATATACTATATATTTGACTGGATTTATATTATTTATTGTCATTTAGCCTTACAAGGACATAAGCTCTATTAGGGCCAGGATTTTTTGTTTATTTTGTTCACTGATTTATCTCTAGTGTGTAGAAAGGTCTTGGCACATAGTAGGTCCTCAAAAGATAATTGTTGAATGAATGAATGTATTTAATGCCTGATATTTAGCATTCTTTATAAGATAAGTGAAACAAAACCCAAAGGTTAATTAGAAAGAAGAGTTAGCTAGAAAAATATAGTAGTTGCTATGTTTTTTTTTTTAATCTTAGTGCTGGTTACATTAAGATGTTTAATTTGTGAAAATCAGTAAGCTCTGTATATACTTAAGGTTTTCGTACTTTCTGGTTGTCGTGATATATTAAAATTTAAAAATTAGCTCTGACAATAAAAAAATGTAGTTGCTACAAAGAATTGTTTTGCATTAAGATTACCAGAGGGAATGCTCTGAATTTATATTTTCTTTCCTTGACCTGGGACAGTGCAAAACTATAAAGATATAGTGTAGGTAAGTTGTACGTTAAAGAAAGCTACATATAAAAAGGAAGTTTTCTTTGCTTGAAATCAGTGAGAAGGAGGCATGGTTGGAGATCTAATTCATTTACAGTAAATGAGAAATTAATCAAAGTAGAAAAGTTTGGTAATAATTTTGTGTACCAACACTTAAAAATATTAGAAGTGCTTAGATTAAGGCTTTAAGTATCAAAATATTATTAATAAAGGAAAAAAGAATAAGTGATTAGTTCTTTTATATGCCCGATTATTCCTGAATCCATAATTGTGGGTTTTGAGGAAGAACTAGATATCTAAGTCATATGAAATCACAAAGTAATCATGACAAACAGTCTTGGTATATTTTTCTTTTTTTAATTGGTGGTGAAGACATGACACTTTTAATATAAAAATGACTATATTAAGATAAACGTATATATTATAAGATAGAATAGAAATGTTTTGTAATATTAAAAGCTGTAAGAGGAGACTTCAAAGAACTTTTGAGCTTTTCTCCTGGGAACTACTTGAGAAACACTGCTAACTTTTCCTGTGTTTTGTTTTGCCAAAGGCTTTCCTAATGAAGAAAGAGAAGCCAACTTTTACTTATATATGTATTGGTAACAGTTAAGAGTTGATCAGAACTCTATTGCATTGCCTTTTAACTTTTGTTCATTATTACATTTCTTGGTTTATCCTATATAGGTAGTAGTTAATTCATTATACCATTTTTTCAAAGAAGCTTTGCATTTTTTAGAACATGATTTTTTAATGTGGGACTTTATATTTCTCTCTTAATTATCCATGGCTGAAGAGAGTGGTAGACATACACACTATATTCCAAAACTGTTTTTTTAATTTTCCTGAGGTAACTACTACTGTTACAAGAGGAAAAACAAAACTAATCCATTTCAAATTTAGTCTGTTTTATTAAAGAGAAATATTACAATTAAGAAAGACTAAAACAGGAGGTGCAAAAAAAAATGGTGTAGATGATAGAGGCTCTGTTCATCCCTCTGGCAACCAAATCAAAGTTGTGACAGAAACAAGGAGCAGCAGCAAGGAAAAATCACCTGGGATCTTGATGAACAAGCCATACAACTAGGGAGAGATCCAAGAAAGCACCCTGAAACGGCAGACGGTAGGACAGGGCGAGCACGTGGGGCTGCGCTGTCTCGAGTGGCTGAGTGAGACGAAGGCTGCGGCAGCGACAGCAGCAGCGACAGCCTCCTCTTTAAGGGGCCTTGTCCACAATTGGACTTTCATAGTGACGGACCTGGTCGCTCTGAGCACCAGTGCCAATTCAGCTACACTCAAGGGACACCAGGCACCTACAGGGAGACATTGTCGGAGTGAGGGTCGAGGCGAGATTCTCTAAGTACAGAAGTGCCGGCGGTATCCATTGATCCCTGTTGAGCTCTCCCCCCACCAGTGCTCTGACACAGCGCCACCATAGCCTAGACATCATCAAACTGGATACTGCTATTTGCGACAACATAGATGGACCTCGAGATAATCATGCTAAGTGAAATAAGCCAGACAGAAAAAGTTGAAAATCACATGATATGACTTATATGTGAGATATAAACCTAAAAGCAACA